GTAGACCTACAATTTAGCTGGTGAGAAGTGAATAGGATTAGGATCGTCTCCACTTTGTTAACCTTCACAGGTACTAAAGTGCAGTGCTAATACGTGCTAGTAAACGATGAGTTTCTTTTGACTCACCATACAAACTAATGAACCCTCTGGACAACCGATGACTGTTCGGCAATAGATAAAAAAAAAAATGATCAGTCACGAATCTGTTGCCGACATTCTGTCGAGTTAACCTAGGATACCATAGAACTAAAGCGAGCATTTAAGCTGGAAAAGTCCCAGCTGTAAGGTTTAATTAGTCATGAGCATGTAATGTCGGAACATGCTCTTTTCTTTTGAAACGATACAACTAAAAAGCTAACCTCTTCAAGAACAAGTTGTCATTCTTTTTCCATTCCGTGATGATAATCAAGGATATTTATTTAGGCGCGGGGCGCACCGTTTAAACCCTGTCCTTCAATATCAAATGAGTGAAGGAGACATAACAATCAATGATGCCCCCAACGGTTAAATAAACGACACATGTGGGCATGCTATTCATATTAACCTGTCCATGAGTAACGTATTAGTCGTTAAGAAGACCAAGTCAAATGATAATCATAATGATAAACTTAATGAGAAGTCAACTGGCCAAAAACAACAATATATTTAATTGTTCTATTCATTAAAAAAGATAGCTAAATAACGAGTTTCTCAATTGATAGGATATATGGCAAATAGGTATATAGCAGGATGTACTGACAGAAATGAATAAAATTATACGTTACAAATTTTAGGATATATGGCGAGCTTAAATTTGTTGTCATAGATCTGAATATCATTTTCTAATAGTGTACATTGTTTAAGGATCTTCCACAAGCAGTGTGCATTGGTTTTTTTTTCCTTAGTCAACCTTAAGCTTAGGATCTCACAGCTTTTAGTCGTAGCATTATATCAGGCTTCACTACGACCGGAACCATGAGATGCATGTGCTTGGCTTCATAGCCATGCAACCTTTATTGTTTGCATATCGTGGCATTTTTCTTCCTCTAGGTAACATCTCAACACTCCAAAATAGGTCTTTTTAGCGACCTGACCTTTTAGGTCATAGGTATCATTTCCGCTGTGCAAATAGACACCTTTTTTGAGAAAACGATCTCTGAGAAGATCTCTGGAGTGAATAGCCGAATTCAATTACGTGGTTCCTCTAAAGCTGGCTTAAAATACCAGTTTTGTTGCAGCTTCACCCATCGTCGGGACCGCGTTACATCCATGAGATGCGAAACTTTACGAATTCTGAACTGCAGCAAGAGACAAAGAGAAAAAGTTATAGGAAGATAATGACTTTAATAGTTTTACCCAAACCTGTCTCGTTGCATAGAAGTCCGCCCTTGCATTTACGTCCGAACGATAGGTGCATCCAGGCAAGTCCATCGCGTTGGTAGCTGCAGAGGTCCTCGTATATTTTCTTAGACAAACGAAAACCTTTGAAAAACTGGAAAGCAATAAACTATGATAATAAAGATAGAACGATGGCCTTCTTTTTTTTTATTTTCCCCCTTAAATTTTCTACGTTCAACTTGACTATGTGTCCTCAAAAAACACTTAATTAACTCCAGCATGTCTCGAACTAGAAATCAGCGATCGCCTAAACAAACCTCCTAAATTGCAATAAACAAGATCAGTTTTGTAGAACATGCAGCTCCTGAATTTGTGGCATGGTCTTGCGCAGAAAGTTACTCGAGCTAGGTAATCCACAGATCCATGCCATTGTTGCACTTAGCACTGCATGAACGGAAAAAGGAGTACCAGCTTGGTACAAGTAAAACTTGAACAATATATTTCATCATATGTAGATTTACATTTAGCTTAATTTACCTCGAGAATTTTTTTCGTCAGCTCCAGTGTATTCGCCATAAGTGTTTTCTGCTTTTTTTTTTTGGGTTTCAGCGGAAAATCTGGAATCATCCAAATCACTATCAGTTATGCTCGCATTAACGGTATCATTTTCGCCGTCCGAAAAGACTGCGCACGCATTCTGGAGGCCATCGCCGAAAATTTTTCAGACCGTCTCGAGCTTCGCAGCGAAACGAGCTTCATTCGGGTTTTCGTTACGAGGATGAAAATGAAAGAAGCCACATATCATCAGTCAACAATTATAATATAGTTAATAGCATAACAAGTAATACAATGTATAGCGCTGATATATAAACAACAAGAGACGTTTGTTTTTCTCGTGAGTCATCTGTATAAGTATATTAACTAATTAAGCATATTTCGTACTGCTCAAAGGTAGCTAAACAAACGGTTTTCATCCAAAGGGCTTGCAAGCCGTTGAAGCTACAATATTATAATGACAAATATATGTACATATATTATCGCCCTAAGAACAGTTGTTTTTCATTAACTACTTAACGGATGCCCTCTTCCCTGCAGCGGAACTGAACTAAAGTCAACGAACTGACATTGTCGTTACATCAATGGTAAAGAGCAGCCTGGACGATGCTAAATACGCCTGGTGAAGTTTCTAATAATAGATAAGATAATGTTTTCTGCTATTATCATTGCTATGGCGCAGTGGTAACTTCTTGGCCTGTTGAACTTAAGGACAGCAACTGCGCTGGGATCTCACCACGAAAGCAAATGAAGAGGCTCCATTTCGTACTTGAAAGCGTCGCCAGCCATTTGAAGCTAGAACGTTCGGCTAAGGCAGGAGCATCGAAACAGTCGTTTAATTTCAGAGCTGTTTGAGGTAGCCGACCACAGAGGTTATTGAGCTTGACCTGCCATTCCAATCAGTTAGTCGCACCTATGTAATTGGTACAGTTTTGCCTAGGTTGTCAAAACCTTTGGAAAACCATGTGTATAGTTAATAAGCATATGATGACTTTCTTTGTGTTTCTCATTCGCAACGTTGAGCTGATATTTAAGCCAGCTTTTACGCCCCATAGCTAATACACACCATCTTCCAAACGAATATAAGCACTAATTAGCCTGGAACCTGTAGACATTCAAAGGATACTTTTTTTTTTTTGTTTAATCATATCTGTCGCGTCCTATATATCGTAACGATACGTACTTGACCGTCTGCCCAAAACAAGCGATGCATTTGACTAACACGGATGCAATTGATGCATCGTAGTTTTACCTCTTGCTAGTGGAACAACATGGCAATGCCCATGTATAGTGTGGACGTTGGGTTGGTTAAGTGTTACGGTTAACCTTTGTTTAGATTGGTACAGGGTTCATTTTAGGCATCAGTGGCGTCCTCGCACGGACTACAGAGGGCGCCCTAGCCTTGACCGTACTGAGTGAAAAAGACGCCGGAAGGTGACGCCCAAGCCCCAACTGAAAGGTGCTGACCACGATTGCTCATTTCGTCCGCTACGCACGGCAATTGACGTCACGTAAAACTCACGCCATGAGAATATCCCAGCTGGCAAATGAATGAGACGAAGCACTGTACATTATTGATACGTTGTGCTACATACGTTAACGTTGCGTCGCTTCTATTATTGTTTGATGCTATTTTCAGCCTAATCGTTAATGACAGATTTCACTAGATATTATCTTAATAAACTGCGAGAAAAATAAGTAAGTAGGGGTAAAAACGAGCAACAGAAACCATGGAACAGTATAGATTTGTCCCGAGGACAAAATCTGAGACATCTTGAATGACACTTTCATCAAATTGAAGCCCTTGTCGTCAGGTGTGTATGATGAAGTTTTAGATCTTGTAGAGATCAAGAACGATAGAGATATTTCTACTTCACAAGAACAAAGCTCACAAGCACTGTCTGCAGTATTGATATATACACGATATACAGGTTTGGAAATGTCTTCGGCTAACAATAGCTCACTAATAATACAGGATAACTTACATTTGCCCTAGTGCTAACTTGGGTGATGTAGCTGACAGCTGTTTGGGATGTAATGGATCTAACGATAGTTCCGAGCATCTCTCGAATTGTCCCAAATGCGACTGACGTTCGTCAATATTCCTACACAATCTATCTATATTTTTTTATCTAAACAGTTTTTGCGATATAAATTACGCTAACCTGAGCCAAAAAGTTATTTTCACGGCCCTTTTAAATATTGTGCCACGGAATTTCTGTGTTTGATACCGAAATTCATCTCGCACTATTCCATACTCATGCCTTGCCCTAGCAACACTAAACATTCGCAAAAATGAACTTTGCTTAAAAAGTTAAACCTCACTGTATCTGACGACACAAAACTCTGGTTGCATGTCATAGCACTAGGCCCTGCAAGTTAGAACTAGGTAGGCCTGCACGGGTGCCGCGTCGCTAAAAGGGGTCAGGGGTAGAGATCACCGACTCCGGCCGCATCGCATTCGAAGGCATAAGCCATTTAGGTCGTCTGCATTAAAACAGAAAGAAAGCGCTACAAATAACAAATACAATTCATATATGCCACTTGTTGAACAATGCTCTAGCCAGTGGATTAAATGTTTACAAGATCAAGCTAATAATAAACAGATGTTTATCGTTAGTGTTCGTGTTGCCATCCTTCTTCTCATGGGGGACTAAGTTTATTGATACGAAATTATAACACCAACAGCCACACGGGGTATAATGAGAAGCCTAAAAATTATTACGAATTACCGAACATAATTAGTCCAGGCAAATCTTTGTAGGCCACTGTTTATATAAGAAAGTTGTTTTGTTTTTTTGTTTTTTTTTTTATCCACATAGCTTGCGTAAGATTTGTCGTTTGGGGACTTGAACCAGGGATTCCTAGAACCAGGCGACTACTTAGAAACGCTATAATTGGTAATAGTAACGTGAATCAACAATATTAATGTATGACTTCCGCAAAGGCTTGTATAGGCTGTCTACGTATCGGGGACATATACCTTTAGCAATTCTGCTTACACTGGCTAGCCTTGTGCCAAACGCATTTATAGCGTATACTTCAACCCCTATAATAGAATTTACACCCCTGACTGCCAGTCAACTCTGGCCCACAACACTGACCTATCTTCACATTTCATTCCTGGACCCAGCAGCCAACTTCAACAACACCGCTGTCTTGCAAACGTCTCTTTGAATAGACGTCAAAAGAATAACACCTTTATTGCGACGTGAATTCGCTGTGACAGGGGTTAGGTTAGCTAAAAATACACGTTTTCTAACTACTCGTTAACCTTCGGAGCCGCTTACTGGACGGCTGTGTTACTTTTAGGAAGAGAACAACAGAAAAAGGGGAATTTTAAAACGATCGCACCCCTGAACTATGTACGTCTGTCTAAATCAAACTGAATAAAGTTGCCAGTGAAATTTGGTACTTTCGCCTTAGTAATTGCCCCAGGTCGCAGCGGCTCTTTCTAGCAGCACCAAATAAACCGTGTCTCCGCTCGAATTCGAACCTAGATGACCCCTCCATGAGTGTCCCCAATGTTCTGTAGACAGACAAGTTAGCTTTGTGCCATCACGAAGGCATTTGGCATGCCTACTTCGAATTAGGCTTTCTACTGATAAGAGCAACATAATTGGGAATTGCTCGATGCTGGTCACCTGCAGCTAGAATAACCTTTACCTCTGGGAGAAAACGAAGCATCTGGTGCGCGATGCCCAAAAGGAGCAAGTAAGTGTTATCTAATGCGCACGTAGCCAACGAAAGTGGTCTAACAATTTGTAATGCAAAATCTCTTTAGAAAACTCCGGTTCAGCCTGCGGACGTCACCTGAAGCCCTGATGTGTGTCTCGAACCGTTGGTGAAGCTCTCGCAGGAAACAGTCCTACCAAAATGGCAACCGAAGAGAACTAGTTTGAGAAAACTCGTAGGGAAAGTCGGCTTTTCAGGATCCGCTAACCCGGCTTCCACTTTTACCGTTGTTGTTGCTGTTGCTGTTGCTGCTGCTGCCGCTGTCGTTGCGTGTAGCTTTTGGTACAGATTATAGGTGTTTAATGGCAGTAAATAGTTGTAGTGGGAACGGCAAGACTTTCACGCTGACGCGTACCACAGAAGATCAAACGCTTGCCAAGATGAGCGATTTAGCGCTTAGCTGGTGAGCGAGTTGACACTGCTACGAGAAATTGTAACACTTACGGGGGGGGGGGGGGGGGGGCAAAAAAGCTGGGTACAGAATTAGCAGTGGTGAAAAGGAAAAGGGGCGCTCGATCGGTGTGTCCAGTACACTAGCTGACAGGTAATGCTCGATCAGGAATAGTCTTTTTTTTTTTAACGTGACACGGCCAACTTCGTTCTGTTATGTTTTTTTATTTTATATTGTTATTTATTATGTATTATTTATTATTATGTTCTTGCATCGTATGCGTCGCGCGACTAATTTATAAGCCGTCGGCATGATTATCAAGTGGGGAGACTCTCATAGTGTCTTCGGGTGACGGTGCGATAGTAATGTCAACTAAATGACACTTAGGGGTGCGGGTTCACATCTGGCCGTAAATCTCAATATCATGCTTCGGGTTTCATGTTGTTATCAGCAGTACCGGATGTGGAAATATTTTATTAAACAGCGTTCGAGACGTTTTTTTTTTCCAGTGTTGTCCTATGTAGCGTTTGGACTAAAGAGCATCGTAATACTTGCTATGTTGTTCATTATTTAGGTAAATTATTCATTAGTTCTTCTCAAGGACAGACTAAACAAACGACAATAAAGATATTATGTGCATAAAAAAAATGCTTAGAAAATTATGTGCCATGTATGCAAAACACGGAATAATTTTGAGATTGTATTTTTACTCTACGCGCTGGTTTTTTTTTTCATGGGTATTGTGCCGGGCTCGCGGCACTAAGTACAACCCTTGAGGTTCCAAAAAATAACTATTAGACGTAACTTAGCAATGAAAGGGTTACTATTCTATTGATAGACCTTACATCAGAATGTTCATCATTTACATACATTAGGGATCCGTTTATAAATAATGAAAATCAATTATTCCCTTATAGATTGATACACCAATGACTTGCTGATGACTTTAAAGCAGTCAGCGTTGCGTTCTCAGCACTCGAAACCGTATTAATATGATTCTTTATGTATTATTTGGGCAGGGGTCGCGACAAAAAAGAGGTAAGTGCAAAGATCAATCTATTCGTCTGTGATTTTCGCATCCGGTCAAATTGTTTTTTTCTTTTTTTTTTTTATCTTTTATATATTTTTATCCGCTTAGCGCTTTCTACTAAAAAAAAAAATTCTATTATATAGAGACCAATTAGATTTTCTAGGGTTCAATCTGCTCCACTTCGCGACAAATTTGCAGGTTTGATGTTAAGCAACTCGTCCAAAAAAATTATTCAGCTTTTCAATTGCAAGATGGACGATTACGAATTTGTCAATAGTTGGGAAAAGTATACATACCATTGGTATGTCATCAGACCGTAGTCTGAAGCATATGATGGGTGCAACAAAATGTCTCACCCAAATCCTGCGTGGCTGTTTTAGCGATTTTCGCTACGTGTGATCTGGCATTGTCGTGGGAACCGATTACTTGTTCGTATCTTTCCGTTGGATAGCTTCGTTCGTTCGATAGAATTGGGCGATATACATAAAAATGGTCGTTTTAAAACGGAGATTTGTCGTAACTCCGGGAGCAAATATACCCTCGAAACTACTTTTTCGTTACTTATATTGGCGTAAACACCCCTTCACTTAAAGTGTAAGCATTCTGAAGCCCGTCATGGTAGCTGCATGTTGTTCGGTACCGTGTGAGAGATTCGGAAACAAAAAAGCGTGTGTCCCTGTGCTCTTGATTCAGTTTATTTAGCTGGACTCCTAACCTGGTTCCCTATTGCCCATATTGTATATCCATTTCAAATAGTTTATTTGGCAAAAAAACGTCTTTAGCAACAGTACTAAAAAATGGACTAGTGTAATAGTTTAATAGAAAAATACCCTTTCCTTCTCATTGTATCAGACCATGGTCGAAAAAAATAACAACGTGAGTTCTGTATTAGTTCAAGGACCGCAAGGATCATGTCAGTTCAGCGGTGTGCTGAATCGCGTGTCCTTGCTTTTCAATTTTAACAATAAAAATGGCGAAAAGCTGATTCCAAAGACACACAAGGCAACTTAGCTGAAAACAACTTATAAACGGATTATTGGAGTAAAAATATCTGAAAACTAAAAGAGGAAACAAAACAGTTTTATTTACGAGGTTCTTTCTTATTGATCTCTTTTGCAGAAAAAGAAAAAGAAAAGCAGCAAAGGTGGGAAAGATTTTGTTCGGATCAGACTACGAATATACGATGTGCAAACGACTTAATAAAAATAACGCGACCAACCTGGCTTTTTTTGTACAGTCTACATTTGTACATGTTTGTTAGCTTTGACGATTTTAGCAATTGATTTTCTAGTATTGTGCTAAGGATATAGGAAACATGTGCTTTCCTTGACGCGCTGCTCTCTATGCTGGACCCGGCGAAGGCCGTATCAGGAGTTCCTAACTTAACCGAGTAGATCTTATTAACTACGTTTCTGTATTTGTATGTACTAACGTGATACGGGAATTTGTTTCTACAGGAAAATCGAAAGGTTAGTAATTTCCCACCAATGCCTTATCTTCCAGGTTAACACAAATGTTAAAATGCTTTTTTTTTTTTATTTTACTTAATATGATATTAATTATAGACGGTCGCGAGGGTCTGAAGTATCCTTCTTTCCAACTGTTCATTAACATTCTGTCGTTCGTAGAAGATGCATATTCTAGCAATTTGTAATCCTAATACTTAATAACTGTATTATAAATTTCTGTTCATGTTTTTTGGTTAGGCAAAAAAAAATCGACTCGCGGCTCCAGATCAAATGAATCTGTGGCGTCTATTTTGAGCGGGAGCTCACACGAAGAGGCTAGACGTCTTAAAGGCTCTGTCCCATGTGGTTCTGTCCTTAGCACGGCAAACCTGCAAGGCTCAATGATGAAGGCTAATATGATAGGGTCTCGACTAATGGGCAGCACGTTGGGCGCGTGCCGTATGGGTGAATTGGGCAGGCTCAAAAGTTCGCAGCTTGTTGCAAAACCGAATCTCGAGCAGAGTATAAAACGAGCTAAACCTGGTCCCATGTTGCGCCCCATGCCAGTCCAACAATCACAGCCCCCTATTCCAGTCGATCAAAGTAGCGAAGAAGACTGCGGTTACCAGCAGTAATCGATCTCCAACATCGGAACCGTTCGACTAGAGACAAAATTTGCTCATGTAGCTATCTGACTTCGAGCTTCAACGGAAGGAAGAATTACAACGTTGATATACGTTGAAGATCTATACGGCGTCGGTAGTTCGTTGGCGCATAACAAATCGCGCAACTATTGCTAATAATAACAAGAAAAACGCGTCCGTTCAAGGCTTATCAACCTTCCTCGGCATTTGTCTTTGTTTTATTGTCTAGTTATTGGTGATAGCGTATCTGTGTCGGCGCTGGTTGAGACTATGTGCTAGAATTCACTTTTAAATATGGGGACGTAACCTAACTAGTCAATAAGATTAGCAATAGATAGATATCAAACTGTGACAATTACACAAAAAAGCTGACACATTGATTCTATGGACGAAACAAATGGGTGTCCTCTCCGCGATCTATCTAATAATATATATATATATATATATATATATATATATATATATATTATTAGATAGATCGCGGAGAGGACACCCATTTGTTTCGTCCATATATATATATATATATATATATAAAATCATAAATAAGCTTCAGCGTTAGATTAAGCGGAGCACACTTTTTATATCATTTTATTTAAATATCCAGCTATATACAAGCTATAAGAACTTACGTTGTTACTCGTTGCAACCAGGTCGCCAGTAGCTCAGATATAGTAGTTTGCCGTTAACCCAAAACAAAGTATCTGTTCGATATCGTTCTATCGACTCGTGACCAATCCAATTTAATGACATTCGCTGACTTAAGAGTCTCGGCATCGCCTAACGTTCGCTCAAATTCTTTTGTATGTTTATATATGTTACTTTTCGTTTGTTCTTCGTGCGTCTATGTGTCGCATCTAGTTATGTTCCTATTACTGTGATTGTTATTTTTTGTTACTGAAGACACAACAAAAGACACCACTTCATAACTTGTCGACGACAACATCCAATCAACACACATTAACATAATGGCAGATTTCGATGTTTTTTCGGGATGTTTCGAGATGCTTAACGTCGTCGGTGGCACACTGGTGGCTGCAATCCTAACACTAGGACTAACAACAATAGGACCGTCGTGTTGTCGAGTCCTGCCCATGTCTCAATAAGGTCTTTGCCAGTAGCAGTCGACAACAGTTATGTTGTTAGCTCTAGTGAACCCTGAAGGCGAGCTTCACCGGAGTGCTAATCTGATGAAATAGAATCTTGCTGTCAAGTCTCGTTTGGTCTTCGCCTTCAGTACTGCCTGGGTGGTCCTAGCTAGTGAGTTTCGGCTGACGATGGCGAGCGCGCATTTCGTTGAAAGAGGTGAACCGAGAGAATGTCTTTGCGGAGCGGTATTTTTAGAGGAGCGTTACGTACATCGACGAGTACGCAACTCAGTAGCTGAGTGACCGGACGGCTATTATTGAAAAGCAAAAGATACGCCCTTAAACCTAGGCAATGACTCTGGGAAGAAGGCTCACATATGGGCTGGAATATTAAGAGGATAGGAGAAACATCTGAACACCGCTTGAAAGCCCTTTAATAATTAGGCCAACAATCATAGATGGGTCTAGCTGTTGTTAAATTGTTTAACGAAACACCCATAGCAAATGTTAAATCGATCTTTCTTGTTGTTATGGTAGCAGTTTACTGAGGAGCAAGATTTTCGCGAAGGCGTTTGCTATGGAGGTAGCAAAGACCCTTGACTTATGTTTACTACTACGTGGCCCGCTATCTTAGTAATGAAATTAGTAACGACAAAACCATTCTGACCAACCCAACGAACAGCTTATTTGTGGTTCCAAAAAGTATGCCAACAAGACAGAAATCTGCTTCTTTGATGTAGTGAAGACGAAGATTCCCATTAAGTGCTACTTCGGTCTGCCAGATCGGCAATAACACAATACTTTCATATCATTAACGAACTAATAATTTTTCTATAATTTCAACTAGATACGTCCTCTTGTCGAAAGTTTATAGGCGGACTTTTACAGCTGGCCGACGGATCTGATTCAGAAACCTAGATCTAAACACTTTAAGCTATAGTACATCACACGCACCTGACAGTAATGCATATCAGTACTTCGATAACGGCATTTTTTACTTCTGGCACAAAAATAATCCTGCTTCATCAAATGCTCGTGAAAACCGAGAGTATCTCGATTTTTTTATAGTCTCTTGTATCCGCCGTTGTCTTCGGCTGTTGCACATTTTCGATCTTATTATGAGTCATTGCCGCCATTACTCCCATTATCATTACGGTTACTACTATCATCCACGAGCGGGCGCGATGTACCCGTTCGTTGAGCTCCCTGGCCGACAGTGCGTCGATTTTGTCGATAGCTGCGGGCCCGGTGTCGTTTTATAAATGAATATTTCTTTTTGTGCCGCTTTGTGCACTATTCCGTCTATGTTCGCGTCGGGCCGATCTTGCGCGTGTGCCAGCTCGCGGCACTTGGCTAGAGTCGATAGACGTTGCAGCCTCCACCGCTTGCGGCCGAATAGACTGCTACTGCTGCAGATGATGACGACAACAGCGTAGGCTTGGACCACTACGGCGTCCAAAAACGCAAACGGACAAATAGGCACACAGGCAGGCCTTATTGACGAAGACAGCTGGACGCGCGCAGCTGCGGCGTTAGGCCACGCGAGCGTCGTAACGCGACGTCCATAGCGTAAACGTTTACCTATATATATATATATATATATATTGGACAGAACGAGAGTGGCTGTGCGAAAAGGAAACTGGCTTGTCGAAAAATTGTTTGAATGTTACATATTCGAAGAAGCTGCGTATTCTGGTTTACTGTTAATGGGGTATGTTTCTTAGGTGTGCTTGTTGACAGTGAATTACTTGACTTGTGGGCCTGGGGTATGTGTGCATGTCAGATGGATGTAACAGACAGATTTGTGCCGTCGGATCTAAAACGGAACAGGGAACTGGTCTTAGAGACATTGAGTATCGAAGTATTTTGACTTGCATAAAGTACTTTGAAAAATGTAGATTGATATAGATGCATTGATGACTAAGGAATGGACCGAGTTAGCGTGTATTGAACCAAATGGCTGATCCAGCAAATATTCAAGCACATAGGGTTTATTCAAAGAAACGCTTAGGTAGATATATTCGCCTCCTGTATTAAATGTCACATTAAAATCGAGCTTGGTTATTAACCATCCTACAATACACCATGTATACTGTTACTTATATATCTGTGCAATGGCTTGTTATCATAAATTTGCCTTTGTCAGGTACCAATAGCATAGATACATACGACGAGGATAGTATTTTCTCATCAGGGTCTCAACAATTGTTTGGCTGAAGTAAACTGGCCCGACTGACAATTTGAGAAGCTAACTGAAAAAAAGATCAGCTTGTCCGCATTTATTGCCCCCATGGGGCATCCGTGCTCCGATTGCAGCCACTGAGAAAGATGCCATTCACCGAACAAGCGTTTTCGTCAGCCTCAAATAACGCGGTCATATCGTGATCACTAGATCCAATCGTATCGATTTCTATCGCTCTCTTCTCAAAAAAGCGGTCTCGTTCCTCATTAGTAACGTCATCATTACTAACCACAACCTTGCCGACATCGACGGTCGTTTTCATTTGCTGCAAGAACATTGCACTCGTAACCATGTTCGAACCTGTTATTTTCCGCTGGCGATTTGCCTCCATTCTGAACGGCTATCTGGTCGTAGGATCAGCGGGTGCCTGCTACTATTTTTTTGCTTGACCGCTGCGCCTCTTACGGTCTGCCGGACGTTGATCTCACTCTCGATGCATTCCATACGGTGGCGTACGCGCTTCGGCAAAAAACCAATGTTAAGCATTGCTGTGGAAAGAAAAAGATTCTCGTAGCTTTCGAACACTGTAAAAAGAGCTGGTGCCATTTTTTGGCAGCAACGGGTGTTGAAGGACAGCACAAGCCGACCGATTCCGGCCTTCGTTATTTGCGGTCCTCTATTATTGAAGGAACGGTACTAAAGTAAAGGTTACGGATGGACTAGTATAGCAAGAGCGCAGTATGATATATAATCTGTGGCCAAATAAACTTAGTCGAATACGTTTATCTGACTTCTGCACCTAGGGACTGACGCCCTTAGATGTTGACGACGGTTTTCTACTTCAGATTCACTGTCGACGACATCTCGGAAACGTTAACTGTCATTCAAGAGCTTGTTACGCGTCGGGTGTCCTCACGCGACTGGGTATCCTATTAGGCGACCCCATTATTGGACCTTGGCGCCGATATCGTTTCCCTTCAATAAGCTCTTTACCAACGCTACCTTCACACAGAGCAGAATGTACTGTATCGTGGTCAAAGACATCAAACAATCACCACTTGTACGTAGCCCAAGAGCGGCTCCATTCTCGAGAATGTTTTAATTTCTATTTAGTACGAATCACATGAAGAGGAATCGATGCAATTTTTCCTCTGTTGTTTTTTTCGACATTGTGTGTTATTGAGGCGGTCCGCTGCCTCGACTGAACGACATGTTGAACTTGTCAAGACAGATCGACGATCGTTCGTCACCTCAACGAATACGCTTTATCAGGAACGACACACGCGAAGTGATTAGCAGAGCGACGTCTTCATATTAATGACCAGCGTCGGTTAACAAGCGTGCGGATTGCGCGTCCAGCCAATATATCAAAAGGTCTTTGCGTACTTCCGAGAAAGAGAGAAAACTGGGTATTGGCTGAACATTGAAACCGAAGCAAAGTTCTTGACCATTTCGACTTAACCCGAAACAGCTTCTAGCCCATTGTGGGATCTAACTAAACACAGAAATATATCAAAAAAAAAAAGAAAAAAAAAACTATTACCGCTATTCATGTCGATAGTTGCCATAATTTATACCCAATTAAATAACGATTGTTAACCCGTGAACGCAATCGTTTCATCTTAGTTTTAAAATCTTCAGTTGGTTGGACGTCGTCGTTTCAACACTCCAAGCGTTATTAGTTAACGCTTAATTTAACTAGACATTCGGCAAGTTTGTTGACGCAACGCTGGATACGAACACAATAAGTGAAGGACAATTTGCATTAAGCTTTGTTAGTTTTGCATATTTGTTTATGTCGGTATAATATGATACGATATACCGCGAGAAGTAGATCAACGTCCGACACGTCCTTCGCGCCGTATCGATGATCCCTGCCTCCTCCTCCTCCTCCTCCTCGAACTATCTATCTCCTCGAAACTAACTTAAGCCA